TACCTAAAGCTTGGTCCTATACAGTACAGCAAAAGTACCCGTCCCCAGTGACGGGAAAAGTTCAAGTTAATCTACCAATTTAATTTATTTCCTGGACTTTAAAAGGTTAACTGTGTTGCACTGTGAGCCAAAGCTCTGAGCTACTTATAACACCAACCGAGAAAGTTTGGTTTAGTTTTATTTTGTAGAGCAAAGCTACACGAGGGCTATCTGCCCCTACTTTTGCAGTGAAAGACTAGAGGGAAGGCAGCTAGTCATCACCACCCACCGCCAACTCTTTTACTAACGAATAATTGAATTGATCGTCACATTATAACGCTCCCATGGATTTTAAGGCGAGCATATTTGGTGGGACGGGGATTCGAACCCGTAACCCTCAGATTACGAGTCAAGCGCCCTAACCACCTGGCCATGTCGGGCCTCCACCGAGAAAATGAATTGTTGAGCATTTCACTCATGCTAAGAGCCGTTCAACAATAATATACGGAAAATTTACATTTTTATTATTTAAGTTACGTCACAATTTGAAATGTGACTAATTCCTAAAAATTTATTGTATAATATCCTGCTTGCGAAATAAAATTTGACATCTACATCATTCATGACTGTTCTCCTGTCATTTCAAAAGTGAATGTTGAGCTTTGCCTGCATGAGCAGCTTTTCTAACGTAGCGCAGGAAGCGGCCGCCGTAAACGGGAGACAGACGAAGCCTCGGACAGACACCACGGTTCGTAATATATATATATATATATATATATACACACACACACAAAACATCGCCCTGTGTTAAATCTCTGGATTTCGGAGTTAGCAAGTTGGGATGCTAACTATTTCCTTCATTCTGAGCCCTGGATGCGTTATAAATGTAACAATCAATCCTTAGTAGTTCAAAATTAGGGACTACAGCAGATAGTCGTGATAGCTTTGCCATAAATACGAATGCTATACAGCATTACGTCTTTAATTTAACACTCCTATCTTTTTTACACCAACAGCCAGGTTTTAAATGGTGTACTAATAAGCACTAAAATGCTAAAAACAATTAAGTTATAATATCAATTTTATGCAGATTAAACTTAACTATTTTTTTCTTATATATCGAAGAGTAGTCTCGGCTGAGTTCAGACATCCTAATACACTTATGAAAATATATTTGGAGAAAGGTATTTCGGATAAAATCTCAATTCACATAGCTGATATTCGATGTGAATTTAAGATGGCCACAAATTTTGATAGGTGAAATGATGAATCTTGTTTTTCGATTTGTCCTTGTCCAGAGTTATTGACGAGGTCTGGAACTCGTGGAAACAGGTCCAACTCAGTGACAAGTGGTGAACCGAATAACAATCTAGGCTTCACATTACTCTTTAATATTTTAAACAGGGTACCTGTTGAATAACCCAGAAAAATTTATTAGTAGCATCAAAGTTGCATATTCTTCAAAGTCTAATTGTTGCTAATTGTTGTCGTTTGGTGGTATTTCTCGACGGGGATCGATTGATTATTACAAGTTTATTCTAATTAATATCTCCATATTATATTAATTGTTTCAATATAATCATGCAGCTTGAAAATAATTTTTTATTTACTCTTTCATAAGTTTCACAATACTTTTTTTTCTGAAGATATATATTTTAAATTTATCCTCTGTTACACATTTAGGCTTAAAATTCTCCTCTGCCACTGCGCTTAGAAATATATATATGCATTTTTATTTCTTTTCATATACGTAAAAAAAAACGTATTTGTTCTAATACTTCATACTATATTATATATATATACACACACATATAATTATTCCACAAGAGACTTATTTTTTAACACACGATGGCGCTACATTCTAAAGCGTCACATGCCTTGTTCACTAAGAACATCTCTCGGGCTTTTCCGTCATACCCAGTAAAAATTCTCGGATGTACTCAAAAACGATGTTCGGACTGAACTACTTTCGATCACATGACTCAAATTTTGAACTGAAAGTTAACAGTAACATAGTACCAGTAGGGCAGTTGAAACGGAAAAACCTAGTTAGAAGTACTATAAGCAAAAGTACTTTTGAAACAAAATAAGTACATAAACAAAATTATCTTCACCAAATGAAATAATCAACATTAAGTTGCCATAATAATCACAAAAAATATCACTACTATAACCTAAAATAGTTTCCTTAACACGCGTAATTTACAAGCATATAACAAGAATGATAGAATTTGGTGTCATAGCATTACTTCCAAATAATTGTTTACGTTAGAAATGATTAGTGTCGTGAAGAGTTTGAAATCGATGGTAATTTCCAGTTTTTATAATAAAAATATATTTGTTTGTAGTTAAGCACAAAGCTATACAATGGGCTATCTGTGATATGCCCACCACGGGTATCAAAACTCGGTTTCTAGCGTTGTAAGTCCGCAAACATACCGCTGTGCCACAAGGGGGCATAAAAATATATTTTAGTAGATGAAACACGATTACAGTACAAAAATTTTATTAACTCCCTCACGAAGTTTTTAAAAGCTCTATGTGAGCAAATCGCAGAGAAGACAATTGTTTGTCTTCAGAATATAAGATGGCCCGTAACTTTATCTCCCAAAATGTTACAGGCATTTGACAAGGTTTTTTTTTAGCTGAAAGAATAAAAAATAGAAATCTTTCCTGCAGGTTCCAAATGATAAGTGGGTGCACATCAGGAGTATTCATCATGAGATCACTAATGAAAGTATAACTGAAGTTCTTATCCTTATGGCAAAGGATTTACAATAATAAGAGTTTACTGAAGTATTGACTGGCAGTCGTTGTATCATGACGAAAACAGCCCCTAATTTCATTTTGTTCATCGTATAGGGGAATGGCAAACTACTCCGGGATGGTTAGGCTATGTGCAAGGTGCTGGGGAACTGGTCATCTTGCGGCTGAAGTCACCGTGGCAATCTGTTGTCGCTGCGATCAAGCTGATCACGAGTCGACAGAGTGCTAGACCGGCTATAAAAAGTGAGGAGGGGAAGATAACCGTTTGCATCGGTCGTGGAGTCGAGTTCCTCGGTACCAGTACGTGAAGTTGGAAAAGGAAAAATCTAGTGTGCCAACTCAGAAAACAACACCTCCTCAAGTGAAAAGTGGTAACAATACTGGTAGTGAATCAAAACCAAAGAAGCTGATCCTCGGCAAATCTACCGACACCAAACCACCAACGACAGTATTCTGGAAAAGGACCCGAAGTTAAGCGAATTCTCGTCATCATCTAAGGAATACTCTGATGCCCAGAAAACCACCATAAGAAGGACTAGGAGAAAGAGAGAAGGTTAAAAAGATGTCGCCTCAAGCGTACGGAATTAAAATTGTAATTCGCGCGCGAGTCGTGTTAAATTTATTTTCCAAATATTTTTTAAAAGCTTAAAGACAAATTAGAAGAGGGATAAGGCAAGTTCAATCATTTTAAGTTTCTATTTGAATAGAATAGCCAAAAAAGCAACAAAAGTAAGTACCTTAAATTTAAAGACCAGCCACGCGTTAGGCTTAGCCTAACCAACATCACAGTAAATCCCAACCAAAGTTTGCATAGACCGAATTCGGTAGTTTTCAAACTACCCGAAGGATCGCTCACTCACGAGGTCTTTAAAGCCTTGTGCGATCATATTGCAGATAAAGGGATTGAATGCCTGCAAAAAAACCTGAGAAGGTACAGAATGTTCAACACTGGGGGCTTGTTCCTCGACCCCCATCGAGAAGGTACAAGTTGGAAAAGAAAACGAAGTCAACATAGGTAAAGAAAATGAAGTAAAAGATTGTGTAAACGAAAATAATAAAAATGAAGTTAAAGATCGTGAAAATAAATCAAATAATAAAGATCAGGTGGAAGGAAAAGTCGAGGAAAGCGATATGGAAGATGCTGGAGAAAATGAAGGCAGTGATTCCTAGCCGGAGATTGATGAAAGTAATATTAATACCAAAGATAATCAATATCAGAGTAAAGACCTGGAGCTCAGCGAGTCCTCGTTCACTGAAGATAATGACCCCCAAGAGGAATCAACTGCTGGAAAGAAGAGAATAAACACAAAAAACTCAAGGACGTCCTCACTAACACCGAGAAAAAAGAAAACCAAGACGACGACGAGGAATCATCCCCACAATGACCCAAAGGTTTGATTAGTGCAAAATTGCTAGGCTTAAGTTTTCACTATTCTTCCTTATCACCATTTAGCGATTACTCGTTCAGCTAACTTACTTTTAAAATGACTCTTTAAAATATTAACGTTAAATACAAAAAGGTTTAAAAGAGAAACAAAACAATAATTTGTAACGGATTATATTAATAGACATAACATAGATATATTTCTAGGGAAACACATATAGAAAGTTTAACAGATATCCGAAACAAAAAGAGAAACAAAACAAGAAGTTGGAACGGATTATATTAATAGACATAACATAGATATATTATCTCTACAGGATAAACATATAGAAAATTAAAAAAACTTTACATAGAAATTTAAATACAAGTCATACTGGAGTATTAGTAACCCCAAGAAAAGCAGGTACAGAAATAATAATAAACCCCAAATTGATCTGAAAAATTAAGTCTTTCAGACATGACTAGTAAGGCCACCTGTGCTCGTTAGATATAGAAATAAATAACAGAACAATAAGACTAGTTAATGTCTATGCACCCAAAAAAGATACACCTCACAGACAGTTCTTTGGGGTTTTAGAAGATTATCCGCTATGTAATGGCTTGTTTCTGAAGCCTGAAGCCATATTGCTCTACTGTCAGGTTTTGTAGGCCGGATTCTTTACAGGAGGTGTCTGTGATTTGTTGACGATGAATTTCAATAATAAAATAATGAACAGTAACACAGTCCATTTGTTTTAAAATAATATATTAAAACAAGTCACTTGATTATACTGAAAGAAAGAACTAAAAACAACATTTAGGGATTGAAAATATCCACAAATTAATAACTTAATGATACATTTTTCTTGAGTAGGAAAACTTACAACTCTGATTGAAATATAGGTAGGAAGTTTTATTTTTCATAATTTTAATGATATGTTCAATAAACATTCTTTTTATGTCATTAAGCATACCCATATTTTGATGTGGAAAAGTATAGTTAGTTCAACAAACAAGGTCATTAATTGTTTACTCAAGTGTCTCAGAATGGTTTCAATATTAAAAAACGGATTCACTTGAGAATCAGACAAATTATATCACACTGAAGGAGAGAAACTGTCAGGCTGATATCGAGTGTTAAAGGTTTACAAACCATTAATGGGGTCCCTGAGCTTTAAAGTTTGTGGAGATACTTTTTGAAATGTAACTGGAATGATCAGAGGTATGGTGAACAATGGATTTCTTGAATCAGACTTTCAGCTTCCTTAACTCCATTAAATACAACAAATTTTCCATTTATGGGGTCCCCATTACTTAAATTTGTGTAGCTACTGCTTCAAAGGTCACCAAAAGGGTTGGTGAGGTTTGACTGAACATTGAAATTATTGCAGCAAATTTAAGGCTTCCTTGATTTTCTGAGTAGCTCCATTAAAACCAGCAAAAGTTTCGGTTTTGTTTTTGTGCTCAAATTCTGAAACGAGAATGTATCCACCATTTTCTTCTTCCCACTGTGACGGATCCTCCTTCATCACCATCATCAATTTGTTGTTCTTCGATTGTGGCCAGTATTTGTAAGATTACTGAAGCATCCTAAAAATGAAAAAATATATTTAAATAAATGTGATAAAATTACCTTGCGACTAATGTTAATATAAATAATCACGTTTTAAAATGCTAGTTCCTTTTATGTTTTTAAAACAAGTTTTCGACCCCTTGTTAAAACAAATATATTAATTTTAAAATTTGGTCATTGATTATATAATCAGAGGTTTTAATATTATAGGACAATGGAAGTCAATGGAAATACCTTTGAGGTCCTTGTTACTATAAATAAAAGTTAATTGTAAAATAATATTGGATACTATTATTGGATAGTAATAATTATTGAATACTAATATTGGATAGTAATAGAAATTAATTATTTTTTTCAATAATTTCAGGTTTTAAATATTGCAGAACAGTTGGAGTTAGTCGAAAGTAGTTTTCTACAAAGATTCTGTTTGTTTAGTGTTAATTACAAAGCTATACATTGGGCTTATCTGTGCTCTGCCTAACTTGGCTTTCAAATCCGAACTTATCTGTGTTATAAGCCCTCAGAATTCCCGCTGGACTACTAAGTGGGGACGATATTTCTTTTATTACATTGGTGCCAATGGATAACCGTGTTGCACATCAACTTCTGGAAAATTAAAGATCGTACTTGTTGCAAAAAAAAATTTCACATCAGTGTCCAGATAGCAGGAATTGTAACTTCCTTCGTGCTGATGCTAGTACAAATGAAAGCAATTCAGACAAGGTATTTTTATAAAGTATATAATAAACTGGCAAATATTTGCTGCTGGCCACCTCAGTCTTCCCTTTGTGAGATTTTTTAAAATTATCAAACCCGTTACACACTTTTTTACAGAAACGAGCGTGGCTTTGTAGTTAGTGTGCCCGATTTGTGAATGCGAGGATTTATGGTTCATGACCCGCTGTTCCAAAAATGCATTCCGCAACTAAAGTGACAGTCAAATTTCATTAAATTCAATCAGACAGATGTAGCCCAGGGGCGTAGAAATACGTGCTGTTGATTAGCTGACTTCCTTCTAGTCTGTCAGTTTAAAATTAGTGACGGCTACGTGCAGATTATTTACCTTTGCGTGAACATTCTATAACAAACGTAGCATTCGGTTTACAGAAGGTCACTAAGAAACACAAAACAACCCACGAATGCATGTCGTTTGAAGAGAAACGAAAATATCTTCAACTACAGACTTTCTGGAGCTAAAATAGCTGTTGGTAATGTGTTCGGAATGTTATGTAATCGATTAAAAATCCTTAGTAGATATTAATTTATCTCCAGTCCCTGATGGCTCAGCGGAAACTTAAAAACTGATAATGCTAAACTTCGGTGTTTAATTGCCACAATGAGCACAGCGAACATAGTCCACTGTGCAGCTTTGCGCTTAAACAACACACTTTATCACCAGAAGAAAAAAAAAGATGCTTTTATGGGCTTGTGTGATTTCACAACTTTCTGCAAGATATAAAATGTAGCCATAGCTAACATCCCCTAACATTAAGTGAAACAAATGCACTTAAAGAAACACTAAAATAACAGTTACACAGAAAGTTGGAGTGGTGAGACTTTTACCTCAAGACTACTGACAGCACAAAATAAACAGCCACAAGGGAAGATTCGTGTAAGTATTCCAGTTCTGTTCCACAACGGTTGAGCATTATATGATGAGAAAAATGTTACAATGAAAAGTCGCCTAAAATAAGATAAATTTTAACTTACTTGAATACAAAAGCCAACACTGGAACTCTTCTTGGAGAAGTGTAAAAATAAATTATCCATCGTGATGTAAAGCAATGATGAACTGGCTCTCCTTTGAATTTAACCTGAAAATGCAAACAAGCTCCGAGTGACTAAACAAACACCACTGAGATTTCTATTTTAAAACCATCATATTTAACTCAAGTATATTATACCACTTTAACTTCGGTTAACTTGTATTTTTCTTTCATCTTCCTGATATAAAAATTCATTATTAAACACTTCAGTGCACGATCCTCTAAAATGAACCGACAATCGTTATTATGATTCTACCATAAAAAAAAAGTCTCTAGCTGAAATTGATGGCATATTCTATAACGATAATTTTTAATAAATTTGTTATGAAAAATCATGCCAGTACGGTTAACATAAAACTACTTTCTTCCAACGAATCCCATGATATCGCTAAAAATGTATTATGTTAAAAACATAATTATCATATGATCCTAACAGCACAATCATACTGACCAAGATGACCATCGAGATATAATTAAAAAGGTTATTGTCTAAAATATAATCATCATAGGCTCATAACACCACAATTATACTGATCAAAAGATGACCACAATGTTACACAGTGAGCTTTTCTGTGCCCTGCCCATCGTAGGTATAAGTTCTCTGAGTTATCACTGAGCCACCAGGGAAGGGGTCCTCAAAAAATACGAAAGTGTGTCCAGATGTCAGTCATTATTAACGAACACTGTCCATTTCTGGAAGAATAATGAGGAATAATATTCTACACGTGTCCACCAAGTGTCATCAAAAACCGATCTTTTTTACTGGGATATATAGTGAAAAATCGGTCCCCATGTTAACAGATAGGGATTTTTTTTTCGTGACCTCGACCCTCCAAAAACTAATCGATTTCTAAGTTAAGTCATAATACAAATGTATACCAACTTTCGTCAAAATCCATTCAACCATTTTCGAGAAACTTGCTGACAAACACACATATACACAGAGGTAAAAACATAACCTCCATCACTTTCGGTAGCGGAGGTTATTACTTAAAAAAGCTTTTAAAATAGCGGAGAACTGGTAGAAAGTAACACAGGTGCATCACACGCGAGTTTCAAACACCCTTCACACTCGTTAAGAACTAAACTGAAACTTCAGATTTAAAAAAAAATCCTTTATTGGGTTATTTTACATCACTAATATACAAATAAAATTAATTGAAAATTACCTACCACTTCAGGGATTAGTAACCTGTGCTATGGGAGGTCTCCGTATAACTACATACGAACGTAGGTATTGCATACATCAAAAAAAAAAAAAGAAAGATAAAATATATACTTAATGATAGGTACTATTTAAAGTGAATTGGTAATTACATAATTACTTATAATAATAAAGATGCTTCTTGTACTAAATTATTCTTTACTATTCCTATAATTTATTTAATTTAGGCTTAATTATGTTTTTCTATTGATTGTTATTTACCATAATTATTTATGTACTTATCTCCAATTATTTACCCACC